AATCAATTACCAGAATGGTTGGCAATTATCTTTCTGATGTTTGACTAATAATTAGGACGGTTGTAATACAGTTGCTGCACAAGACATAACAAATGATACTGAACATTAATAAATATGTGCATATAATTACAACATTGTCAACAATATATGTATAGAAAAATATGTAAATGTGTAAAAATATGTGCATTATATTACAGTTTAAAACAAAATATAGAAGATGTGCTCTTGTCTCTGCTCTCCTGTTTCACAAAATATCCTCTTGTTCACTGTTTATGTTTTTAAACTGTATAGTAGGATTGTAAATTTACAAGCTGTGAGCTCGAAGGACATTTGGGAATTTGGAGAACAAAATAAGCACATGTAGGTTCAAGTTAGAAAATGTCACAGGAAAAAAAGTATTTAAAGGTCAAAGAGATTTAAAACATACACGTAAGTTATACTTTTGTAAAGCCCTAAGAACAGAGTAGTGATGATACAAAGGTACTTTTTATCTCAGTGTTTGTTCCCACAGGAAATGAGGCAGACAACCGCTGTACAGTTGTTTTTACAGTCAATGGAAGGACGCAAAAACAACAAATTCAGTCTTTATTTAAAGCCCAAGATAAACTGTCTATCTTCAAAGTTATACTTGCTGTGGCCGTAATTTGTCGGTATACCTCAAATCAGAGAAAATCCTATTTTCAGTCACTAGCCCTCCAGAACAATAATATACAATATATAATATAATATATGTAATATATACACTGCTACTACTGCTATCTGAAGTGAAGAACATGAAAAGCAAATACTACAGTAGTAAAACAAATGCTTCTAAATGGTATTAAGAACATTCATGTATTCATAAAAACCTTGATCAGTGACAGAAAGTGCTTTCAATGAAGTTTTCAGCCTCCAATATGATCTGTGTCATAAAGAAATGCATGAAAATGTTCATGTATAAAAAATTATTAATGTTTGTTAATGTGTGACTGCTTTGTGCAGGACATGGCTCTGGCTAATGAGGAGAACATGCCAATGTTTATTCGCTGTGGCATCATGGCGTTGGTGGCGGCGTACCTTAACTTCCTGAGCCAGATGATCGCAAACCCTCCCTTCTGTCAGCACGTCAGCAAGGTGCATCATTGACTCTTTATGACTTCACTAAATGTCATCAATTCAAGTTTTGTTAAAGCTTTATGATTTTCAATCTCTTTGATGTATATTAAAGACTATGTTGCACATTTTTCTTGTTGAACTCGCTCTTTCTTTGCAGAATGAATATTAAAGTTCATTAATATGCTGACGATCCACCGTCAATTGTAACTGTTACCTTGTTTGTCACTCTTCTTTATTCACCTGCTATGTGGTGAAATGGTTCACTATTGAATACTATTCGCTGCTTCCGTTGTTCTCTCTCCAGGTTATTGAGCTGAGGAACTTGGATGCTCCATACCTCCTCCCAGAGCACATCTTCAGAGACAAGTGTCCGTAAGTATCCACAACTAGGCAGATCGGAGGTTTACTTTATAAACATTTTTAGAGACAGAAATAACCTAATGGGTTGAGTTAAGCTTCAACACCATTCAAACTCGGGAACCTTATTACCAGGCTTGCATAACCAAATCCAACAAACAAACTAAATAAAACTCACCAAAATTGTCTTTGTTAGTCTTTCCAACAATCACTAACTCTGGTTTGGTGGAAACAATATGATATATATTCATGGTCTAAATCTCATATACAGTACAGAAATTAGTTGTTGTTGTTTCTGAAAGAACTCAGGAAGCCCCGAGTCTTGTTTGTGAGCCAGCTCTTTATTCCAAACATTCACTAGTTGAGATCTGAGCCACTTTCCCTCCACTATTGTAGTCCTGATGTTTGCCTGTGAATGTGTATCTCTGATATAAAGGAGAGATCCACTGGTGAATGTGTGGCATGCCTGAGGTTAGATTTTTGAAGATTTGAGTCTAAAAAACAGACCGCAACCCTAAAATCTCATGAAAACATGACAGCTTAAAGCCAAAGGCGAATTGTCGAAGATGCTCAGAACGTTCGGCTAAAACCTTAAATCTCCTGTTTGGGTTTTAGCCATTATTTGTAAAGATCTTTTTCTGTAGCATCCTGTTTGAAATTTACAAACTTTACTACTTGGCAGTTTCTGAGTACAACCACAATCTAAAACTTTTAGCCACTGAGCTTCTTGGAGGAAGACAGAATCGAATTCTGGCATATTGGTGCTGCTATTTGATGTTTACCTCAAGTATTCAAATGTCCTGGAAACACAAATTGAACCAAACAGAAATAAACTCTTACCTAGAGCGCCAAAATCACCCGGCATCTGCTGATAAAACCTGATTATGAGAACCGGGATCTATTTCTGATATTAAATCCCCCCTCTGCAGTGAAAGATGCAAGGATTTTAAACACTAAATTTGGACTTGAGTGCTTTAGATCTTCTAGAAAGCTCTGCTCTGCTTCATTTAGATTATCTGTATACCCAAACGTTTATCCAAATTTAACCCTAAACCATCCAAACACATTGCTGGAGATATGAGTGCTCTTTGTTGGAGGAGGTGGATCATGGTTTTCATCCTTCTCCTTCTTCTTCCCAGAATCCCCGAATGTCTGGACAAAGAGGACAGACTTCTGTACTTCCAGACAGCCGATATGGCAGAGTGTCTGGCAGGACCAGGATACAACGCAGAGAGACTCTCCATTCCCTACGTTCCCCAGGTCACAGGTACGACCGGGTCACACAAACTACATGGAACTTTACAGCCTCTTTCATGGAGCTTTTAAAAAAAGATATTTCCATATTTTAGCCTCTATTTTAAGGTTACGAAGAATGGACAGAAAAGGTTGTCGCTATATGGTCTCCATTTTAACCACAAAACTACTGGGAAACAGGAAGCTTTGAGTTTTAGACCAAATTTAAAGGGATACTATGCAGAATTTTGCTAAGAAACAATGTACAGACTCATACATACTATCTTGTTTCGCCTCTGGCAGATTTTTTTCTCTTGTTCAAATCCTTCAAATTGACTCGGCTCATCTTTACGAGCTCCTGCTGTGCAGTTATTGTTGTAACCCACAGAACTTCATTTTAAATGCTAGTGCAGATCCCAAAGTGTCCAAAGAATATAACAGACTGGATTTTGCATAAATGTGTACAAAATGATGCACAAGATGTCAAATATTATCATTTGATGGAGGATGAAATTTACACAAACTTAGGTTGAGATTTAAGAGTGAAATCAAGAGTTGAAGAAGTTATTAGAAAGAATGAGATATAAGGATTCAACATGTGTTTCGGTGCACTGTTACATTTTTATTTCCCTCCATTATAAAGTCACAGTCCCTGCAGGAGTTGTTGGCGCTCCCGGTGAAGATTTTGCCGAAATTTCTTTGAAGGATTAACAGCTTAAGGAGTTGTTCAGTGAACAGAAAACAAACTTTCCCATTGTTTGATCAGCTTTATTACACAGAAGGCTGTCGTCCTCTCTGGCAATTTAAAATGATATTTCACATTAGAGCACCCTGAACGTCTGTAAGACTTTATGAACAAAAATCTTCTCCAGAAATGATTGGTCCTCAAGACTTTTGATTTTTCTAAATTCTAACCCTGGAAGTAAACTTTAAATCCATACAAACCAGAGGCAAAGAAAGATATTTAATTATTTGTCTTCGTGCCAATAAAGTGATTAAATTATAGCGTTATGAAAAAATTCAGAGTGGAGGCAGCAGCGGTGGAACCCTTGAAATTAATTTTAATTTTATCCAAATCAAACAGGTAAAAGGGTTGAGAAGTTTGTCTGTTTTTTGGTCGTCTCTGGTCTAACAAACAGTGTGCTTCTGTTTCCTTTCCTCTGCCATGCTTTCATCTAACATCAGTGCTTTACACAGTAGGAAAAATCCTCCACAGGTGCAAGCAGACGTCCAGAGGTAACCAGCTAGAGTAGCGTCTCCTGCCTTTATAGTTTAGTTAAGCTGGAAAAGACTGCAGATAAAGTATTTTACAAAGCCATTAGCAGCCAAAATATATTTTTTTACTCGCAGCTTTGATAGTTTTGTTTTTGGTTCATGCACCTTTGATGAGGTACCAGTTTTTATCACCAGAAACCACACTACCGGATTTTCTGTCCACCAGATTAGCTCTGGTTCTTGAACCAGTTCTGTTTCCACCAGTTTTGAGCAGAACCATTCAAGGATGTCGTCAACAGAGGGTGTTGCTCAATGCACAATTAACTGTCCTTAACGTATTTTGGTTATTTTTTGATAGGAACCAACTTTTTCAGGGTTCCCACGTGCCTTCAATTCATACTATAGCTCTCTAATCTCCGTGGCAGTGAGACCAATAAAACCATTAAAGTTTCCGACGTCCTGGTGTACACAGTAACTGATATGACAATAGAGACGATGCTACTGTAGCTGCTATTGCTAGGTGCTAAAATGTATCCTTTGTGACAGTGGATGTACACCCTTGGCTTGGTAGCTTAGATCCCTTTTAACTGAGCTACACAGGACACAACCACATACAAACACCCGCAGGAAAACTATCCCACACCCTTAAACGATTGACTAACTTTAGATAAATCCTTGTAGATTGTTAGTATTCCTTGTTGTCTCCAATATGTAGTTGTACACATCCTACTGTATACAGAAATAAAATGGTTTCACAATTTTTATTACTATTTTGCTTGCATTGCATCTGGAAATGTTACGGTGAGTACATGTATGTAGACAACAATGTAGACTATGAATGTTACAGTCATTTGTTTGTTGTCGTTCATAGTATTGTTGGTGTAGGGAGTACTTTTTAATTTGTGTTGAGCTTTAGTTGTCATTATTAGAAGAGAATAAATAAACACCTGCATTTTGGTACTGTCTGTCTGAGCTTGTTTGGTGTAAATGGCTGCTGCAGTTTTAAATGGGGATTGATGAGAGTGTAGTTGATTCGCAGTGGGTTTGGCACTACGGGCAACGCTTTTAAGTAAGGACACTTTCATACCAGCTTTTATAACTGAAAGTTTGGACCAAAATCTGTTAATTTCAATGAATTTCAATGGCAGTGGCAGCAAGAAAGTTATGTCTTTGTCAGAGGTTAGCTTCAGGGAACTTTGACGTGCCAGTTTACAACATCTAAATGCAAACTATCTTCACAGTGCTGACGTTTAAGAGAATCAGTCCAAAATTGAGAAAGTGACCATATTAGCTGTGTCACACCATCCACTTACATAACCCTGCTCTGTCGGGGTATAATGGTCAATGGAGTGCGTTTTTGGCTGAAAGTGAAAAATAATTCATGTATCCGCCCTGTGATTCAGATATGCTCAAAAATGTAATGAGTTCTACCTCTGTCCGTGCTACACCCTTCCAGAAAGTTTCATGAATATTGGCCCAAGTCCAGTGTATCTGATGGATACAATAATAGTGGCTAGTAGTCAACAAGCCCCCAGGAAGAGCGCCCTGCTTTGAAGCCAATTTGAGATATTGGCCGTACCATGTAATTACAACAATGGCCTCCGTCACATGATGGACACTGGCCCAAAAATACTTTTTCCTATAAGGTTACATTATGAATGGAGTTGCTATTTGTTGAACATCAGTGAAATTACTTGTTTCATGATAAGAATTTGATCCATTCGGTCTGATAACATTTGGAAAGTCTTGAAGAACCACACAAATCATTTTATCATCTATTCAAGTTAGCGGAGGGTGAAACCAGAAGTTAGCAGCTTGGACAGCAGAAATCTGCAGTGCGCTCGTTTTACGGGCTACAAGATGCGGAAGATCTGGGTAATTTGTCAATCTTTATTGGCTTTGTTCGCCACTGAGCAGCTTCCATAGGAATGAACGGATCCCACCCAACGACGCTGTATCCAGTTCTCATCTATGTTAGTCAAGAGCAAATGCTGAATAACTGTTGAGCTAAAAGAGCCTGTTAGCTAGTTTAGCAGAGATTACAGATAAACACTAAACAAACAAAACTCAATTTGAGAAGAAATCTACATTAGTTCTCTAACAAGATTTAGTTCTTTAGTAAACTTTAGTAAACAGACTTGTTTTCCTGAAGAAGACTCTCCTTCCTGAGTTCTCCGATCCTTACAGTTGGTTCTTGTTACATCAGAATCTTAATTAAAGGTAATTCTGGTGTAGTTCTGTAATAAGAGAGAAAAAGCTGAAACTATAACACTCCCAGCTCTCTCTCAGCTCTGCTCACATCAGTTTCCCCATGAGTGCCTCCAGGCAGGCTGCTCACTCATACCTCTTCAAAGTGCACAACAAAGGTTGGTGTGACTCACACAAACAACAATTATAATGTGCTGCTGTTCTCTGTTTTCACACGTTCTCTGACCCGTAACTGCTCTGACCCTCATCAGACGACCTTGCACCGTGTTGTTCCTCGACTTGAGAAAGTATCTGTGGTTTTTATTTCTTTCGGTGCAGCTCAGATGAATACTCAAGTGCTTGAGGCGGCGGTATTAAGACGGGCCCTCCTGGGGAACGAGGTACCTGAGAAGTTTATCGCTCCGCAGAATCAGATGGATTTGTTCCTTGCTGTATTAAAGTAGAACATCAAAATAGAAATGGAAGTCTGGCTGTGTGGATAATGGAGTTTGCTGTTAGGGAGCCGAGACGTCGTTGCTGTTATCAAGTGGCCACTAAGAACAAGTCAATAAGTACTCGTACCTTCGTTACACAATGGGTGGTACATCAGTGCCTGACAAAGAAAGTTCAGGCAGCTAAAACAGCTTGTTTCAGGTTAAAGAAGTTTAGATAAAGGAGCACTGACTGTTGGTAGGAGATGGGAGGTGAACAGCAGTCTCTGGTGTCAAAGTCGGACACTTTCCAGCTCGTACCTTGAACTTTGCTTCTGAGACAGGACAGTCAATGTAATAATGTAATATAATAAGAGGTTGAACAAACACCCGGTGCTGTGGTTTTACGGGAAGGTCTAGAAACAAAATTACAATGAAAGCTGTCAAATACAGCAGGATATCCAAGCATCCTGGAAAACCTGGAAATTTCTAGTTTTCCAGTCATGGAAACACATGGAAATCGATTAAAATGACCAAATATGTTTGTATTTTAGCCCCTTACTCAGATCGCCTATGTAAACATAGGTCCATATTTACTTTGTAACTCGGACAAACTGGATGACACTTCAAAGCAGGTTTACCAGATGCAGGTGGAAGTGAAACTGACTTTAAGTGATCTTTTCAGCATGGAGTCCATTTTTTGTTGAGCTGCGAGCAACATTCTCATATCTACATGCACAGCATCAAATATCTTGGCCGCTCTTTCATTTCCTTTTTTTTATTTCCAAAACAGAAAACGGCTCCTTTCCCGGTTTTGGTTTACTGATTTTAAAACTAAAAATACACAAAAGAAGTAGGCAAGCTGAGAAAGTCCTCAGGCCCTATTGAGTGCAGTGTTTAGAGACCGGTTTGAGAGTCTAACTGCTGCTTTGCAATGGATAACAATAATCGATGCCCCGTTTGTGAATATGGTGAATAATTAAGTGTTTACGACTACTTCAACACCCTGCATGGAAAACACGGCACTTGAAAGCACCATGAAACTCAAAGATTGGACAGGCAGCTCTGAAAACTGTAAAAATACAGAGTTCATATTTTAATTTAGCACCTCTACTTGAAACCATTGACATTCAGTGTTGAACAGATGGTAAAACTTCACATTTTGTAGAAATGTGCTCCTGCTGTGCTGCTGTATGTTGCATTCATTGTTTACCCAGCATGCATCGGGGTGTAAAAGTGATATGAATCCCTAGTTGAACTGTCTGTCGTCCTCCAGATGAAGATCGTCTGACCAGGAGGAAGAGTTTTGTGGACACAATCTCCCTTCAAGTGGACATCATGTCCAACAGCCTCCCGGACAAGGTCGGTGTAACTGTAATGTCACAGGTCAGAAACAAACACTCAGATTCTCCTCCCGCAAATAAAGAGAAGAGGAAACTATAACCTTCACACACAACTTTAAAATCACAATGTAGAGATATTAGATGGTGGTGGAGAAAGAGCTTTTAATGAAGTAAAAAGTACTAACACCACACTGGGAATATAGTGATTTGATTAGAGATTTGAGTTGAACTTTAAAACCAGTGACAGCAGTACTAATGTAGCTCTTCTTGTTTCACCCCATCCGACCTATAAAGTTTCTGCACAGAGCTCCATCAGTACTGTCTGTGCTAATATACTCTGTCAGATGACGTCCTCATTTGTTCACAGCTCATCCCCAACAGCTCTTAATGACCGAGGCTTCTGGTTGGTGATTGATCAGCAGCCTGACGTCACGTTTTAGAGAAAATCTTTGATCCCGGCTTTGTGGTTTTTTTATTCCTCTACAGTCGCAGCTGGCCGAGGAGATCACGTTCGAGACCTTGAAGAAAGCCATCGGTGAGATCAAAGAGACGTTTTTGAGACTGCGCAACTTGTACTTTTCTCTTCCTTTCACCTTTCTGTGGACTCCCTGAAGCGTCTCTGAGAATACAAATGAAATATTGGCTTTTTTTTTTTTTTTCAAGAGTCCTTCAGGCTGGTGCTTCTCTGACACGAGATCCACTGACTGTCAGGACACGGCTGACAAAATGATATTGATAATAAAACTACAGTTCATACAGCTCACATATTTTTGTAACATTTACATTTGACTTGTGAGCTTAACAATATGCATATATCTGTCAAAGATCTCTGACTGCTGCTCATGTTAAATATAAGCTTGTTATTGCAACTTTTTTGACTGCCGCACACATAACTGACCTCCGTCCGTGTACAGATACCACCGGCCTGGAGGAGCAGGAGCGGGAGAAGAGGCGTCAGGTGATGGAGAAGTTCCAGAAAGCTCCGTTTGAGGAGATTGCTGCACACTGCGAGTCCAAGGTAGAAAACAAACAATGAAGTATAAATAAATAAATAAATAGTGTACAGGAATCAGTGTCTAAAACGACTAACTCTCGTTTTTCTCCAGGCGAACATGTTGCACGACCGGCTGGCACAAATCTTTGAACTCACAATTAGGTGAGTCGCATTTTTCTTTTTATAACCTTTTAAAACACTCACTTGAATTTAGGATCTGGTTTGTTACATAATAAGAAGATTTGATTGTTTAGTTGTTTAACTGATTTTAGGTTTCCTTAGCTTTACATTTGGATTTATGCTAACAAGCTAAACATTAGAGAAATACAGTAAAATACTAGAATGTGGCCATGAATACTTACATGTAAACATGCTAATATGCTAATTTTGAACATTTAATATAGTAATGTTTACTTTCGACTAGTTTTTTAACTTTTGCTATAGTTAAAGCTGCAGTAGGTAACTTTTATAAAAAGTAATTTTTGGTCATATTTGCTGAAACTTTCACTATATCATAACTGAATAAATCAGGTTCCTCTGGCTGCTGTAATGGTGTTTGCAAGTACCAAAACAACCAATTAGAGCCGAGAAAGATACAAACATATCAACCCCTTTGATAGTTCTGTATTTGAGGATTTATTCCACTGTAATTAGAGAAATTCAATTTTAACATGTTACCCCCTTTTTCATCCCCCTCCCCAGGCCTCCGCCCAGCCCCTCCGGAGTGGTTTCAATCTCAGCGGGACACACTCAGCACCAGTCCGTCCCCGTCTACGAGATGAAGTTTCCAGACCTGTGTGTCTACTGATCACATGCACAAAAATATCTGAAACACAAAATGCAAAATGCTGAGAAAGAACTACAAAATCACAATCTGCGCTCCAGTTGTCTCCATTCAGACCAGCACAACGGAGTCAGGGATGCGTTCACAAACACAAACTGCAGCCATTTTCAGTTTCATACCAAGATTTATCCTAAAAACTGAACTTCCTCACATAAAGAATAGTTTATAGTTTAGTTTAGGACCCTTAAAAAGTGAAAATGGTACTTCTGAATCCAAAAGTGCCATCTGTTTCTGCTCTCTCTTAAATACTTTGATCCTTAATTGAGCTTAAAGCAGACGTGCATTAATCCCAGACGCTCTAAATGAACTGATTGGCTGCAGTTTGTTGCCTGACTCACATCCCTGAAACTAAACATGAGTCACCAAGAACAAAAAGCAGATGAACAGTGTATAGATGCAGTTTTTGACGTTACTTCACAGCATGACTCTGATCCAGTCGATCATTTCTGGTCCAGCCAAAGCTTCAAACCTTGTACATGCGCTGTAGTCTGAAACTCTCTTAAGAACGCCTAAAACCAGTTCCAGGATTAACATTTGAAGCTGGTTTCAGCTGTAATGCTCCTCCTTCAGAGCCAGTTTCCGCCTCTTAACAACTATCTGTTCTCCTGTTGATCAGTAGGCGTCAGTGCCGTCACGCGTTAGTAGAAAATATAAATAACTGAATTAACTTCAGAAGGTGGTAGATTAGTTTTAGGCTTGCTGCTGCACGGCTCAACCGGTTCAATCGTTGATGTTTTTTTAGGCGAATGAGCATCAGAAATGACTTCGACAACCAGCTACGTTTCATGTGGAGAAATAAAATGAGAGCAATACTTCAATTTTCAAATAACTGGTTATGAACTGCTCGTCAGCGACTCTCAAAAGCCAGAGAGTTTTGTTTTTCAAGCCTGTTGGGTAGAAGCGGCTCGCTCATGGTTGGTGGTGATTGTGGGTTCTGCTTCAGATCTTGTTGTCGTTCAAGAGCTCTTTAAAATGTCAGACTTGGAAAGCTGCAGTAACTTTGGTCCGAGTTCTTATTCCTGACGTGTTTTTTAAGAGGTTTGTAAAATTACATTTTCATGTTTGGTACATGGTTCGATTGTAAGGAAAGTTACAAAGGTATGAGGACGAACACTTTCTATTTGGCAAAAGGAAATCTCACAGCAGTCGGTGTTTATTTACCAGTTTTTGTCAAAATGTTCCCTCTTTGCTGGTATTCAGTTTCAAAAACTAAAACATTGCTGTCATTGCTGTTACTTAATGTCCAGACTATAGTTTAGAATTACTCTATTAAAACCCCCTTTCCACCAACGTGAACCCAGTGATTATAAACAGACTCCGAACCAGCTCTCAAACCTCCTGTGGTGGACTGGGGGGTATTAACAGATGTCTTGAGTGTCGGAGAATCAAGTATTCTAGCAGCCGTAACGTCAGAAGTTCTTCCTTTAAAACTGAACCAGTCAACAACAAAGTGTTTGATAGAGAGCGATCGCAAAAACATGAAAATATATCCGTAGAACTAATCTCTATCACCAGCCTGGATAGACTTTACTGTGAATAGAAAAATTGTCAATGTCTCAAATGTCTTCAGAGCCAAACTTCAACTGCAATATACTGAAACATTTGAATTAAATTTCATGCACAATCATATAACGGCAAGTTTTCTATTTAGCTCAGTGTTTGTCCTCATGACAACATGAAACATGATGCAGTTTATGGGCATTCAGTGGGGGCAGTAGATCAGGATATAAAGTAAACAATCAACTGCAGTCAGAGATAAAACAATGGAGCATGTTGGCAATTACGTAGGTATGTTAAATAGTTACTTTATGTCTTGCAAAAACATTTCATTTAATTTTTGCTTGAAATTCTGACCTTTAACAACAATAAACAGAAATATATCAGTTGAAGCGTTTCTATTACTGTAAGTTGCTATTGTTTGTGGACCTAGCTAGCTAGTTACGTAGGAAGATGATGCATTGAACTAAATGCAAACCTCTGATTGGTCGATTATTTCTAGATAAACTGCATGCAAACAACCATCAGTGGGCACTACGCCTTGCTGAACAGATCAGAGATGTGGGCGGGGATTCTGGGATCTAAAACCAGGCTCAAGATATTGAGTCACGATCTGCCCCCTAGTGGATGTACTGTTAAATCCCACATGAACACACAAGTCCAGCTGCTTGTCAATGCATATACACATTGCTAAAGTAATAAATAATAAAGTAAATAACGTGTGTGATATTGAATGTAAATGTATCTCTACCAGCGGTATGAACTGTAAAAACTCTTCCTTTCTGTGGAAGTTTGTCGGGCTTTGTTCTGTACAACCCGCAGCTTCCTCACAGCTTTCTGGCAGCTTCTACACAACCAAAACATGTCCCTTTGCCAAAGACAGAAGTCGTTCCACCTCCTGTTTCCTGAATTCAAAATGTCTTAATCTAAATAAAAAACCTGGACGTTATCAGAGCCAGCGTCCTGCAAGTCGCCATATGGACGGTTTCATTCCGGCAGCTGACGCCTCATCAAAGTTAACCTCCCCACTGAATGTATTAATATCAATATCCTCCTTCTGATACAAAGCGGTGACATTTTTGGGAGGATTTAATCATCTCTACTTTTTCAACAGTTGCCACAAGGCCACGTTTTGTTTCCAAAAGGGGGTACAGGAGGCGTTTTTGGAACGAGATCCTTCATATCTGGTGGAGCTGCAGCTGTGATCTGTAATAACAGATGGTTATCAGTATTTCCTCTGATCTGAGCTCAGTGTTGGAAGGAAAAATCCCTCCAGTTGGAGGCAGAAACCTGCTGCCATCGTCTGGTCTGAGCAGCTGTGCCGAGTACGTCGCTGCCGCTGCTTTTATTCGAGGCTTGAAGGTCAGTGCGTACTTTCAGAGAGAGGACGGGTTTGTTTGTTTGTTTCCTCAGAATATTGAACAGATATCAGTTGACTGGTTTGTGGAGAGGAGTCCGGTCTGGTGTGTTTGGATGCAGATCAGTTCCTCTTGTTGTGAACGATGGAGAACTGAACCGAATGAAAGAGACAAACTGTTTTTGTTCTGCTGAGCAGGATGTTGCAGCTGTGTTTGTGTGCAGTCGTGAATGTTTGAGATGGTTCGGTATGTTAAAAAGTTGTCGAGTGCAGGTCGGCGAAGTGAGCTTTGTTTGAAATCACCAACATGAGCCTAAGAAGTTCGAACTTTGGCTGGTAATTTGTCTTTTTCAGGAGTCAGTGTGACGGCGAAGCAGCTTTTGAGCCCATTTCCAACCCGGTATCAAGACTAGGTACTGTCACTGTGTACGGAAAGTTCAAACAAATTTGAAGTCAAGACTCGAACAAACAATCTCAAAACACAAAAATTACCAGTTGGGGATTAATGATCTTAGAGGATAAAATGTTTGCCCTTAGCACACTAATGGGCCACATGTCCTTACATAATAATCAATAAGGCCATAGGTCAAGCTGATGGTGTAGCGCCCGTTGCTGGATCACATGGCAAACTACTCGGGATGCACAAAATGGATTTCTTTCCATCCAATACGATTTCAATAATTACCTGCTTCTCATGGCCGATACCGATAAGATAATCAATAATTTAACA